CGCAGTATGAAGTTTATCGCCGTAGTTTTGCTTCTATTTAAGCGCTGTAGGCTCTAAACCTGAAAGGAAGTTAAAGTCAAGTTTTACTGAGTTTTGATGTAAGACTTTATACGCGATATAAAGTATGGGAAAGTGAGCCCTCTGGACATGAGTAAAGTTGAAATTTAGGTTCAGAACTTACTTCTGTATTGGCAGAACATTGAAAATAGATTTGTACACATGGTATATTTGTTTGGCGATACTACAGCGCATTCCAAGGCTCGGATCAGCGCAGTCGGTATAGCGACTGGCTACGGACAGGACGACGGAGGGTTCGGTGTTCGAGTCCCGGTAGGGTCAAAATTTTTCTCTTCTCACCGTCGTCCAGACCGACTCTAGGGTCCAGCCAACCTCATATCCAAAGGGTACCGGAGGTAAAGCGGCCGGGGCGTGAAGCTTACAACTCAGCTCCAGCTAGTGCCGAGGTCAAGAAAATGTGGATCTATACATCCACTCCCCCATACGCATTATGGTGTAGGGCTTAATTAGTTAAGCACAGGGACATAATTACCTTTTCTTGTTGTGAACCTCACCTTAACGTCGTGATGATATGGAGAACTGAAGAAGAAATGCAATTACCAGTATTTAGGTTATGTTAATTTTGATATAGTTTTGAAGTTGTGGTTTGTTTTTTTTTTTTCAAGTTTTAACAGTCTCTTTTAACAAGTGCGGTTGATTCGATTAATTAAGTACCGTATTTACGCATGTATAGGCCGCGTGCGTGTATAGGCCGCAGCACAATTTTCAGACAGAAATTATAGAAAAAATAATTTTCTTGGAATATTATTTCAGGAGTAGAACACCCTGTATTACTAATTATGAATATAATTTTTTTTTAAATTGAAGCGTGATTTCGAATATTTCGAATATAAGCCGCACCCCAGTTTTTCTCTTTAATTTTTGGCAAAAAATGTGCGGCCTATACATGCGTAAATACGGTAATAGCCGACGACAGACTCTGTTTACGAATTTATGGTACACCCATTTTGATACGAACCCTGAAGACAAAGTCTGTTCTTAGTTGTTCCACAATCGTTGAAGCCTAGTATTATTTCTGTTTTCCGTTATAGTATAAATCGATGCGGAATTAGGGGTATTCATGCGGGAGATATATGGTAATAGCACTAACAGTACTTTGGAATGTTACCGCTAATACAAAGCACCGTCAGACTCGAGACATGTCACTCACAGCCCTCACAGCTACATCATTCTGTGGCTGTATAGGCTACACACTCCTATTGCAAGAACCAGAGTCCATTGACCTGTAACGAGACTGACCAGAGATGTTTAGGTACATCAGTTCCCTCTTAATCTGCCTTCAGATCTACACTTCCAATTCTTTACTTAAATTTTCTTTTTATACACCAATGAATTGTAGTTCTGAATGAGAATTCTGGGGCTGTGTGTATCGTATATATATTTTATGACGTCAGTATCTCAGATTATATATAGCGTCGAATGGTACGATGACTGATGAATAATGAATTAAAAATAATTTTGAAGGAAGCGGCCTTAGTCTTATCGTTGTACTATTCCGGAAATTTCTTAGAAGGCCTGAGGAAAACCACAAAAACCTTAGTCAGGATAGCCGATGTCCCTGTAGAGATTCAAAACAAGCACCCTAGATTAAAAATCTACAGCTGGACCGCTACACAAACCTACCCGGATCTGGGGAGCTGCGACTAATACATATCAGGAATAAATAAAATAAATTAAAACGTATTCGCAGAAATGGTACTACCATACTTCATTTAATCATATCAGGCACAAGCAGTAATAGCATATAATAATATCCTGAACAGAGACAGAAGAATGGTCATACGGAGTGAATAGATTTGACAAATGTGGATGGGCGATTCTGCGTACATGGTTCACCTGGGCCTTCATCTAATATATATACGGTTGTACAGTAGACCCACTTTCAGTGACAGTACAACCTTATGGGTTCCGATGGGAAGTATTTATGAGAAAAATATTACAAGCTGAAGAAAAGGGAAATGTGCTCTATACTGAAATTATTTTTATAGCTATGTTTCTCTGGTTTCCTGAATATTCTAGGGCTACCCTTAAAAACAAATTTGAACGAATTAAAACCAAGTTTGCAAGTACATATTCTGGCACCCCCTCCCCTTGGTAAATTTCCTGTTAGCGCCCGTGTAGTGTGTATAACTTCGCAAAGACAGACACACACTTTATTTGATTTCGGCACAATTTGAAACATGACGTTCTTTTAAATAAGATACAGCGTAACAAGACAGGTAAGCCTGTACCCCCCGTTATGTAGTACACAAAATTACAAGTGACCGTTTTAGAAATTTATTAAGCTTAGTTAATAATGAAAATAATTAAATACAGATTAGCGAGAATTTTATTCATCGAAATGCAACAGAATCTATGGAAATATTTGCGAGTTGCATGGGAAGACTCTCTTTATGACCTTATGCAAATTATTCGTTCTTATTAATCAGTATGGCTGAAAAATTGAATGGGTAATATTTAGTGGAAATTAAACACACCGAATATGAACAAAATCTTTGGAAGAGTTCATGAAATGCGAGAGAGAGAAAGGAAGTAGGTCACAAATGAAAATAAAACGTAAAATATGTGATATTTGAACCTGGAAAAAACATTTATTCCTCAACATATTCTCCATCAACATTGATATTCTTGTCCAATCGCTTTACCAGTGCATCCAAACCGGCAGCATAGAAGTCTTTTGACTGCTTCCTCAGCCAATTCCGCCCCTCCGTTTCAAACTCTTCGACATCAGCAAAATGTCTGCCACATTTCTCGACGCAGTGGTGAACCGCTTTACGCGACAAACACTTCCCACTGTAAACAGGAGAAAATTATTTATGAATATCCTTTGCATTAAGTCCTTTTGCCCACAAAAATTGCACAGCAGTACGCCGCTCTTCGGTAATTTACTCCTCAAGCACGGTCGCCATTTTGACTACTGAAGTCAGACTCTGAACATTCGCATGCGCGTCTGCTACCTAGACTGTCATGAAGCTTGACTACGCTGCTACCTATTGATACACACAGAGAATCCATTACATCAGATACAGCTGTTTTACCTTTTTCCCGACTCTCTCTTGTACGAGGGGGTACCCAAAAGAAACCGAACTTATTATTTTTTAAACTTATTTAATCAAATTTTAAGCACAAACCTTCAATCCCCTACAAAGTACTCTCCACTTACACTAATACACTTGTCTAGTCTTTTATTCCATTTTTCAAAACATTGTCTAAATTCATCTTTTGAGATGCTTGACAGCGCCTCCGTCATTTTTTCCTTTCATGTCTCTTTTCATTCGAGGAAACAAAAAAAAGTCGCACGGGGCAAGGTCGGGTGAGTATGGAGGGTGAGGAACAGGGGTCATACCATTTTTGGTCAAGAATTGTCGTACAGACAGGGCTGTGTGAGCAGGGGCATTGTCATGATGGAAAAAACAGTCACCCGACTGCCACAGATCTGGCCGCTGAGCTCCAAGTCACTCCCGACAGCTCTACAATTTCTTCAATGGTCCGTCGTCGATCTTTCTTGATGATTTCACGAATTTTTTCAACATTTTCATGTGTTCGGGCCGTGGAAGGACGACCAGAACGAGGTTTGTCATCAATTGACATTTCACCATTTTTGAAACGGGAAAATCACTCAAACACTTGAGTTTTCCCCATAGCATCGTCCTTGTACGCCGTTTTTAACATTTCAAGAGTTTCTGTTCCACTTTTCCCAAGCAAAAAGCAGAATTTCACCGCAGCACGCTGTTCACGAAAACAGCCATTGCAAAAACGACGATCACACAAAACAGTTGTCACTATAAACTCTGCCGAAACTAGTCCTTACCTTCTGAAGCAACGGTAGTCGGCTTATCGACTCAGGAATGTTAGCTCTATGCGCTCATAGCGGTACCCCATCGTATATGGGGAAGTAGGTTTCTGGCTTTATGCAAGCTATAATCGCACTGAATTTCAACATACTCGCAATCTGTGTGTGGATTTATGGGACAGAAGGAAATGTCCATTTACAGCTTTATAGTGGATTAATTTGACCGGAAATGGGGAATTCCTAATATGTTGGATATTGGAAAACTTTCTTATTGAATTTAAAAATGTCTCTAAAATCTCTGAGTGGTACACATGAAAGTCCATTTAAATCCATCATTATGAAACAGTATGGCTAATAACCGGAGTTCGCCAGTAAATTGACTTCAAATTTTCATATATTGAGTTTCAGTAAGAACTATGAAACAGTTTATGGGGACATTTTTGGCCTTACGAAACTAGGCGTTTCTTAATCTAAAACTCCAAATTATATCATACATATTGGAGCAGAAACTTTGTCGGCAGGTGTTAGATATATTTATAATACTATTACTCAGAGATGACCATGTCGGTGGACAGAGCCTATTTTAAAATTTATTCTTAATTATCCTTATTTTTCTGTGTGTGGAATTCATCTTCTTGGCTACCAGATCTGCCTTTCCAATGCCGCCTTGAAGCGAGGTAACAATGTTCTGATAGTCGAGATATTCTTTCGAATTGTCATGGTGCTGGTTTTACACTTCTGAATAGTGTTTGAAGAAATTCAAATCGACTGTTTGTACAGCGGCTTGTATACCACCGAGAATACTTTGTTAACAAAGCTTCTGGTCTAATTGATAAAAATACATGTGTACTCTCTCCTAATAGAATACAGAAGCCAAAAATTGCAACTGGATATTTCCATAGAAATGAATTGGCAGTTTCTGGCACGTAGATAATTGTAACTACAGAAGTGGTAATATTAGTTGATACGTTCTTCGGCATGGTTGTATCTTATTTCATTTTCCAGTTTCAGATATGTATTAAGTCTGTGCTCTGAACGTACAGGTGCAATGACAACTTTGCATTCCTAGTCTGTATAGGAGTGGTGGAGAGACCATTTGTCCATTGAAGTATGCAATTTTTCCTTTCAGCTTCGTCCAAGAGTTCATCGGTGATCCCTTGGACGGAGTCACTCTTCTTTTGGAGCTGCTCCGAGCTGTGCAGCTGAGTCAGGCGAACCAGCAGACCCGTTTTCCTCCCCCAGTACTGAGACGCGCCCTGCTGGACGAGCACTCGTGTCTCCAATGTCTCCATAGCTGTCTTCGTTGTCCTGATGCAGCCAGAAGACTTGCTGCCTCACCGGCTGGTCTCTTCACTCTTGCTGTCTGCATCATGAGTAACGTTAGCAAGTCGCGCGTTATAGCGCTAGAGGTGAGTCCACAGGACCCATATCTCAAGTAACTTTAGGAGGATGAATACTAAACGTTAAACAGACGGTCATTCTAAGACAATGTTTTATTATATGAAGGACTTCGTTACGTGGACAGTAATATTTCATATCTAAATATTTCTATGATAATATGGATCAACAGAACAGAATTTTACCTGATCTTGTTTTGGTTCTGTATGAAGTGTTTGTGATCTAGCATTCGGATGGAAGAGTTGAATGCTGTCCCATCAAGTGTGGTAGACCCATAACCCACAATCGTAATTTACAGAAGCGCTGTGTAGGAAACCCACTGTATTATTTTAATTATAACTCCGTTTGTTTCACACCACATATCCAAACCCCAATTCTCCCACTTCCATGTGCCCTTCAAGGTAATTCATCTAAGATTTCCGTAGTTTCCGATGTTCTTCATAATAACTCAGAAGTTCCACCTGGTCATAAATACGTCATCTGCTCCTTCTTTGCTTTGTGGTGTAAGCAGTCAAGCTGTCCTGAAGACACATGCTCACTGGATCTGTGAAGTGCATTGAATAGTAAATGTTTCTGAGTGGGGATGTTACCAGTATACCACAAAATCCCGAACCCGAAGGACCGAAATACTCCCTTTGGCTCCTATCTTCCCCCTCTCCGGTAAAGGAAAGCCAAATAGTAGCTATGTTACGACTGATATGCTTTAGAGATTAATGTGGTGTGACATAAATGAGACGTAAAGAAACTGGTAACGCAGAGGAACATCAATGTAAAATGTAGTCATTAACCGCTGAAGTATCCACTGACCTTAATCATTTAATGTTCTTGCACAGTCTAAGGAGTCAATAACCGGTGCCAGTTTAGAACTGAGTATTCTTTGAGCACCTGTAAGGTGCTTCAGAGAAGTTGTTTCACAGCCCTGGAAGCTGCGGATGATGCAACACGCCGCTGAAGATGATAAACAAGCTCTCTTCGAATATAAAAAGATAGCTGTGGCTGCAAAGTGTCTTTTATGATGAAGAAATATCCGGAAATTTGGGATAATAAAAGGTTGTAACAAACAGATTTCGTGTTATTGTTCTCCCAACAAACGTCAGTTCACGGAAGTGTTGAGTGTATGGTATGCACTCTCAGACACACAAGTAATTTTCTTCACAACAAAAATGTAGCGTGGAGTTGGATATGAGAGAAGATATGCCTTGTCTAGACTTTGAGTGATGTATCAACACTTTTTCCAGCAAGATGAAACATCCTCGCATTCTGATATTGTAAGCCTTATTTCTAACCTCTGAATAAGGCCGCGCCATAGCTCAAGCGGTTAGTCGCTGATTTCCCACCGCGGCGGCCCGGGTTCGATCCCGGGTCTGGTAAAGTGGGATTTGTGGTGGACAAAGTGGAGCTGGGACAGATTTTCTCCGAGTACTTCGGTTTCCCCTGCCAATCTTCATTCCACTAATTGCTCCACAATCACCCTCACCTATCATCTGGGGCTGGTATAATAGGCCAGAAGTGGCCGCAGTACAAGGAACTTAGTCCCACCCCACTAGCAACAAAAAAACTCTGAATAAGGGGACGGGTGAAGGATCAATTTCTTGCTATCCTTTACATGTACTCACAATTCATTAAATTTCTGTTGCCAGGCCAGTTCAGTATAGTGAATAGGCATCATGCTATATCATCCTGAATTTTGTTCGGATTCCTGATAGAGACAAGAGATATTTTCTTTCTCAGTAGCATCCAGGCTAACCCAGGGCCCATCCCTATCAAATGGTAATGTGGTTTTGCTCACCACTGGCAAAGAAGTCGAAGAGCAAAGCTGACCACTGACGTTCATCTGGTGCCAATGTTTATACCCCACAGAGCTGCACTACCACTGCCCCATCTATATTCATCGCATGGTACTTAATTAAAGATAGGGGTGTCTGTAGCTTTCTCTGGAGATACGTGTATGTAAAGGACAATTTGTACTGCTTGGAAGTGGTTAGAAGGGAGAATACCAGAAGCTACATCCAGAGTTACGCAAGATATGTGGGAGCACACATGGAATTAGCTGAAGTACAGGATACATACAGAATCCAGTGATTGAGATTAACTCTTTCTAAGGGGCCCAACTGAGTAGGTGTCTTCTCCCTTCACCTGAGGACGGAAACAGATCCAGTTTCTGAAACGTCGTGTTTTCTGTTTCCTAGTATACTGGACGATGGGGAAAAGTCCAAACCCCCAGTAATTCTGTGTGTTATACACCATCGTCAGAACCCTTTAGAATCTACAGGATGCCTTCTGCGTGCAAGCCTACAGGAAAATCTCATATCTCAATAATACGCACAAAATTAAAAAAATGGTTCTACAATTTGTAAGTCACAGTATTTTTGTGTTCTATATTATCATATTCAGAAAATAATTAAATTGAAATAACGGGCTTTTATTTGTGTAATGGTCACATATGAAAGGTGCTCATTACACTTATGTGTGTCAGGCTACATGATATCTAGCACCCGTGATTATACAGCGTGTTCTCTTTCAGCTGTTGACAAAAGCGTGCGAACCTCCGGGTTATGGGCATGGACCTGTGTCAGAAGCTCTCTCCACATTGCGTTTACGTTTCGGGGAACCGGTGCGATTTCGCTTTCTGGTGGGCATGTTGAATAGTGCTGGGGGCTGCCCAGAGTTGCACGCAGCAGGCCTCAGGTTCATCAACACACTGGTAGAGACAGCACCAAATCCACAGAGCAGATTATACTTGCAGGCCGAGCTCGAACAGGCAGGCTTCCATGTCAGCAACATGAGAAAGGTGAGTCCACAGCAGCAAACATCAGAACTACATTGGCACTCCTATTATCACTACCACTGCCACCACCGCTACGGGGGGACCCAAAAAACCGAAATTTGTTTATAAAACGAAACTTTAATCCCCTTCAAAGCACTTTCCATTTGTAAGATTTGAGGCTTTCACGGCGGTGACTATGAAGAAAGCAGTCTTCTGGGATTTGGCACCGTGTATATGTGGTGTTAACCGACGTTTCGGAGGAACGTATCGCCTCCATCTTCAGGGTAGAAGGAAAAATATAAGACCAGTCTGCTTTACCGTTTCTCACGGTGTTGTCGCTTGCAGATTTCTTATACTTTTTCTTCTACCCTGAAGATGGGGGCGATACGTTCCTCCGAAACGTCGGTTAACACCACATATACACGGTGCCAAATCCCAGAAGACTGCTTTCTTCACTTTCCATTTGATTCAGTGCACTTGTACAAACGTTTTTTTTTTCCATTGCTCAAAACATTTTTTTTTAAATTCATCGCTGCTGATGCCTTTTAGTGCTTCCGTTGTTTTTTTTTCTTTACGTCTTAAACATCAGCAAGACTTTTTCCCTTGAGGTCTCTTTTCATCCGAGGAAATAAAAAAAAAAGTCGCACGGGACAAGATGAGGTGAGTACGGGGGGGTCAGGCAAGGGTGTCATGTCATTTTTGGTCAAGAATCGCTGCACACCCAGCGCTGTGTGGGCAGGTTCGTTGTCATGATGAAAGAACCATTCACCTCTTCGTCACAGATCGGGGCGTTTCCTCCTTAAACTGTTATGCAACCTTTTCAAAACTTCCAAATAATTCTTGCGATCTTCCAGAATGATTTGACGAAATTTTGTGACGTTTTCATCAGTTCGGGCGGTCGAAGGACGTCCACTTCGAGGTTGATCATCAGTTGAGATTTCACCACGTTTGAAACGGGAGAACCATTCGTAAATTTGTGTTTTACTCATGGCGGCTTCCTTGTAGGCTGTTTATAGCATAACAACTGTTTCTGCTACTGTTTTACCCAAAAGGAAAAGTCACTTGGAAAAAAAAATTCACCAAACACTAACGCAAACTTCTCTGACGACACAAGCCAGCATACTGATCCAGGAAGCTGCTGCAAACAACCATCTAGCGGCGGAAGCTTGTACTACAAGCCCACAGCCTTCTATGCAGAAACAAATTCCGCTATTTTGGGTCCCCCTTGGTGTTACTAACACAACTATCACCATTATCACTATCACTATCATTAGTTCATCTGCTACTGTAAGAGCCATGGCTAATAAAAAATTTTATACCAAGTAACAACAAACTACAGCAAACGTACTAACTGAAACTAACAATATGTATATAGTCGTATTGGAAGACATGAAGAAATTGTGATACCAAACTTAAGTACTCGTATACACAGATATTTTACTTCTGTCATCCACTTTAATTGTGCCAAAGAATATGCAAAACAAAATCAAGCACATAGAACTACGAATACTTAAAGCATCAACATTTAACTGAAAGAATTTAGAAATGTACCATAGCAAAGCAGTTTTGAAGTAGTCTCTCTGTTATTGTCTCTAGAATTTTAGTTCGTGAATGGTAACCTTCGTTGCTGTCATATAAATAACATATGTATGAGTGGGCGGAAGAACAAAGATCTCCCTACAGTATGGAATTTGAACAAAATCAGTCCGATGGCTCTCGAACTTTAAACCAGAATAAAAATCCCTCTTATTTGATTATTATGAAAAAACTGTAAGATTTATGTGAACTGAGTGTTTTTATCTTTGAAAACTCATTGTATATTGAAGCCAGTCATGTTCCAGAAAAGTTGCAACTTGAATTGACTGTAGCTTTAATTACGTTTCATGTTTCTTTACCGGTATCTCAGTTCTTGAGTTACATAACTTTTCACAAGTAGAACATACATGTATACACGTGAAAAGGCTTTTTTCACGTAACAGATCAAAGTTCTGTTCAAGTATCATCAAAGTGTAATTTCATGGTGCTGTGTGAATTGGTATTTGTGTATGCAATGAGGAGTTCTGCCTGTCACAGTAGCTGCGCGCTCTAAGGCATGAACTGTCTTCGCTCGCTCGGACGCTGGGATCTTGGGTTTGAATCCCACTCAAGGCATGGATGTTTGATGTGTGTATACTTGTATTCTGTGTTTGTGTAGTCCTTTGTTTAGGTAGAGGCCTCGCGATGGACTGATCACTCATTCAGGGAGTCGTAAGGTCTGTAAAAAATGATTGCGGAACTGAATAAGAGGCCTGGGTCCTCAGTGGGCTGAAAAGCCATTGAAAAGGAAAAGAGGGATTCTGTGGTAGAAGCAGCAGGAGAATGCCAATGAGGCAATTCAGAAATGTAGCAACTGGGGTTCTCACAACAATGGTAATGAATGTAACGCGATATAGTCCGTTGCAAGTCAACAGAGGTTTCGGAAGAACATGTCGCCTTCATCTTCAGGATTGAAAAATAAACCAAACAGTCATCGCGAAAGGACAGCAGATCTCTGCTTACTACTTGATTTCGAACTGGTTTCTTCTTTGGCTTATTTTTGACCCTAAAGATGTAGGCGACATGCTCCTCCGAAACGTCTGCCGACTTTCAACGTATTATATGGTGTTATATCACAGAAGGCAGAACTCTCTAGATGAGAAATATGGGCACAAAGTTATACAACAAACACTGGTCAGGAAGTCTAGGAATAAAATTAGAACTATCATTGGAATTAATGGCAGGAGAATAAGTTTCGAAGGTGGGAAGAAAATGGAATTAACTCAAAGTCGTCTGCAATTTCACATATTCATAATAATGTGTTTAACTAAGAAAAGCTTTTTGATTGGCCTTTTAGTAAGTCATTTTGCGTTTAAATTTTGTACAAAAAGAATTAAATAGAAAATTATATTTAAGGTTAAAAATATATTAGCATATGGGTAAGGTAAGTTAAAAATGTAAAGCTAATCTTGTAACAGGCCGTGGGGGCCAAAAGGATTGTGAGAAATCGATGCCCTCACATTTTCTAGGCAAACGGGCCATAGATGGCGGTGAGGTTGTCAGCCTTTCGCGCCGGCCGCCCTTTACGCCCAGAAAGATTTCTGGTACTCATTTCTGTTAGAGGTTGAATCATCCCCAGGAACATAGCTCGGGTTGAAGGAATAGGTCAATTAAAAATTCCAAAGACCTCTTCGGGATTCGAACCCGAGTCCTTCCGGCTTGTAGCACAGTACCTCAACCAGGGAGGTCTGAGATAAATAACAGGATGATCAGCTTAATAGTTCGCACAACATAGCGATTAAACCAAGCTGTGTATCATACTGGCCACATACACGCATGGAGGAGTTGACGAAGTACTAACGAAACATAAGTTGATAAACTTCGGGTGAAGAGACATTTTGGGAAACCTAGGTGTAGATGTCAGCCGGGGATAGCGTAGTCGGTATAGCGACTGGCTACGGGCTGGAAGAGTCCCGGTAGGTTCAAGAATTTTCTCTTTTCCACGTCGTTCAGACCGGCTCTGGGGCCCTCCCAGACTCCTATCCAATGGGTACCGTGGGCTTTTCCCCTGGACTTAAAGCAGCAGGGACGTGAAGCTGACAACTCACATCTAACTAGTGCCAAGGTCAAGGAAAAGTGGACCTATACATCCACTCCCACGTACGTCTTCTTGGCGTAGTGCTTAATTAGTTATGCACAGAAATAACTTTACCTCTTACCTAGGTGTAAGTGGGGAAGAAAGTATTCAAATTGCTCATAAAGAAAGAGAGCGTGGACTTGATTCATCTACCTCGGGATTGGGTCTAGTCGTGGGTTCTTGTGAACGCTGTAGTGAACATTCATGTTCTGCAAAAGGCGGGAATTTATTGGCCAGTTGAGGAACCATTAATAAAAAAAATCCTGCAGTAGGGAAATGACTCTTTATTTAGTTAATTTATCTTTAAGTAGTTCGTGTTGGTTATCCCAATTGACCAATGTAGTACTTTGGTGTCATTCTGAGGCACGCGGTGGCGTAGTTGGTTGAGGCACTATGCTACAGTCTGGAAAGTCACGGGATCAAATCCCGATGCGGTGGATTTTTTCAATTTACCTAATTCTTCCAGCCGCACTACGGCCCTGGAGTCGACTCTGCCTCTAACGGAAATGAGTACCAGGAATATTCTTGGAATGCTCTTGGGGGTAAAGGGCGGCTGGCGCGTAGGGCTGACAACCTTACCGCCATCTATGAGTCGATTGTCTAGAAAATGTGGGAACTTCAATGTCTCACAACCCTATGGGCCTCCAAGGCTTGTTGCAAGGATAGCTTTACTTACTTACTTACTTTACTTTGGTGTCATTCTACATTTTATCCGAATTCCTTTCACCGACATTAGAACTGGCACAAGGCCGTGGAGACTAACGGTCGGGGCCTCTGATTTGACACCTGATTGTCTGGTGCCACATTAAAACATGTTTTCGTTATGTACGTATATGAATGTGACGCCGCTCAGCTATGCTACGCGCGTCCAACTAATTTGAAACGTGAACAAAAAGAATAATCAATCATCTGAAATGTAATTAATATAGTTATGGATACCAAATTACATATTTTATTCCAAGGTAACATCGCAGTCTTGGATGATAAATTAAAATCATTAACTTGAAAATAGAATAATTTCGTTGTTGTCAAGCCTTCTACCATCGGACGGCTGTCCTAAAACAAGGTTTGGGGATTGAACATTACGCTAAAGGCGCAGAGACTGTCAGTTTTACAAGGTATCAATATTTTGTTCATAACAACACAATATTCTACAACAAATCACAAATGCCCCTGTCACCACTCATCATTCCTAAAACTCCGTATCCTCGGGAATGATCACTCGTCTACTGAGGCCACAGAACGCATTAAATGTGTGTTGATGGGTGAAAATGCTGGGGCCCTGACACAGCCTGCTATTCGTGTGACCTAGATATACCCCTGACGTGGGCCCTCGTCGAAGAGAAGGCCTGCTGCTACAATTGAGAATTGC